AGTTTTTCATACCCAATTATTTGAATTCATGCACGGTTCCGTCACAATGAATGAATATCACCTTATATACAAACCACAACGCATGGCGCCGATGGATTTATTTTACGTTTCAACATATATTACAAGCTGCTCACACTTGTATATTAGTATTCTGGCCTAAAAAATAAACTATACATAAGCCAAACTTTCCCAAAAAATGCACAACACAAAAATACATAACCCATGTAATGTACTACGCGATAACACATTGAACACAACTCACCTAGCAATTAAACACTTGGCTACATTTGCGTCTGAACCAAGAGAATTCTCCAATTTTATGGCAATCCATTTGTCAACCTCTTGGCCAAGATAAATCTTCGTCGCACTATTGCTTGTCTGTCGTCGTTTTTTCGCAGATTCGCTCATACTTCGGCGACCGCGCATCCTGCACCCAGTCTGATCTGCCATTTTTTTCTGAGATGGTACTGCGCATGCTCTCAGATTACTCACCATTTTACGGCATTTATCGGGACGTCCCGAAATAAATTTAACTTGATATTTGTGCGTTTGTAACACGTTGATAATTTTTGTGCTGCCATCACAGTTTATAGCTCTCTCGTCGCTATGATAGTTAAAAAAAAGCTAAATATAAGAAAAATACTGAAAAAAAGCTTGAAAACGCCGCTAGTGGCCCTTTAAGAGATTAGACAATATCGACGAAAATAGTTAAATAATAAATGATGGTAGTTACACGCTTATTTATAATTAAAAGATACAACAGTCGTACTGCGTACAGTAAATACACAGCAACTGGGAATGCATGTAATGAGGGACTGAATACAAACAAAGGTTAGACAGTTGTGATTTTTATTTGTGATTACAATTAACCAAGCAGAATATTATTTCTGTAATACTAGATATGCTTAACGTGTGTTCCAATATGGAGCCAGCCATATGGTGCAGAATTCTGATTAGCCATCCCGGTATATTGTATAAATACGAGTTCTGAAACATCAAATAAGAATGATTTATGAACTGCTCTTTGACATGCTCAATCATTGTACCAAGCTTTAGTTTTATTGTTTTGCCACTAAAATCACTTCGTAATTCTCACCCCCTGCCCTTATGGTTAGTGGATAATATATTTATCTCCAGTGACCTGATCTGAATTTACCTTTGAATAACTTTTGGGTTAGCATGAGAAATATATATTTTCTCACTACGTGGTAGCAGCTGTTTCTGAGAGCACAACACTAACTGACGTGTTCACACTATTTGGTATTATGTGTTCACTTCTGATTCGTTATAGCTGATTGGGATGCTGTTTGCCATCATGAATGACGAGATCAACATAAACAAATCGTTGTTCATTACTTGGTGCTCTTACAATGCATGTTAATGTCCCATGAATCCACATTTGTTTCCCTTCTGTACTTGGCCACGAGTTTCTTCAGTTGTAATATGTTCGCTTTAGGTAATGTTTCACCAGTGAGAGTCCCGGGTAGTTTCAAGAATATTTCAAAGTTTTTTTTTAGCATTTGCTACTCTGTGTGTCAGTGAACAATTTGAGTGTCATTTTTATTTTCCCATTTTTAATGATTGAAAGAGTCTGCCACGAGGTCACTGGGTCAAATATTAGCCAAAATACCAAATAGTATGCAATACGTTTACTACCTCGTGTGCGGGTTCTTAACCAATATAAAATTACACAATTTGTGTAACACAAATATAATTTAGACTGATGGGCTCCAGTAGAGTTCAATGTGACTATATGCACATATAAGCAGCAATAATGCACACCGGCCAGTCTTGCACATACGACACTACACATGAATTACATGAAACCATAGTTTATTAGGTACACAAAACATACTTGCTACAGTTCTCTCCGTCGGTATCGCCCGCCCTTGCAGAGATACAGCACAACACGCGGCCCTCACCACGCACCAACGCAACTATGTTGTTGGT